AGCTCAGTGATTTTGCTGCCTGCTGCGCAAGCGCAAGGACCCGAGTTCGTTACCTGGTACCAAAAAAAAAATACAGAAATGACCACACATTTGTTTAATGAACCCAGAGTTAACTGTAATGCACTTTAACATATGTAACTGAAATACCAAAAAGCATAAATATCCATAATTTAATTGAATAATATCAATATAAATTGGTCCCCATAAAGACACAGGACACAAAGCAAATGGTTAAACAGAGGGGAAAAAAATCTGAATTCACTCAAATACAAATCTAATTTAAATTTGTAGGCTAGGGATATAGCTCAGTGATAGAACTTTTGCCTTGTATAAAATTTAAAAAAAATTTTTTTTAAACTTTGAGGAAAGAATTCCTGTCAAACAAACATGAGAATTTTAATAAATTACAATGTCATGACTTCAAGTTTTGTAAGAAAGAAAGGCACAGAAAATATATATAATAATTCCACGCTGGGGATTTAGCTCAGTGGTGTGGCCACCTGCTGCACAAGCACAAGGACCCGAGTTCAATCCCTGGTACCAAAAAAAAAAAAAAGGAGCTATATAATAATTCCATTTATGTCATAAACATTTATTTATTTATTCATTTTTGTTTGCTTGTTTTTGGTACTGGGGATCAAACTCGGGTCCTTGTGCTTGTGAGGCAGGCAACAGAACCACTGAGCTAAATCCCCGGCCCTATGTCATAAACATTTATAGTGGGCATGGTGGCACATGCCTGCAATCCCAGCTCTGGGAGGCTGAGACTGAGGGCTGCCAAGTTTGAGCCCAGCCAGGGCAATTTACTTATTTAGCAAGGACTTACCTCATAATAAAAAATTTAAAAAGAGTTGAGGATGTAGCTCAGTCAAAGGCCCTGAATTCAATCTCTAGTAGCACAAAAAAGTGTATATGTGTGTGTATTATATATTCAAATACAATTTATGAAAGCATGCATAAGAAGTACAAACAATATCAGCTGTGAAGTAGGAATGGAAAAATGGGAAGTGGGAGAAGAACATTTCCTTTTCCTTTTACTGATTTCTACAAAATCTGATTTATTTATTGCCATAAGCATTTACTTTTGAAAATTTCATCTGGAAAGTAAAAAAAAAAAATCCTTATCAAATTTGTTGATGCAAGACCTTTTCCGGCAGGGTTCTGAAGTAATAGTCAATGGAAGAAAAAAGGTTATCACACAGTTTATTTATGTCTAAGATTATTTATAAATAGAAACCAAATATGCAACGAACTGTGAACAGGAAAAACTTATTACTCTACCTGGGTAATGTCTCTTCAAATGCTCCAGAAGTGTTTCTTGTGTTACTACAATCTGAGCTGTGTTCATATCAGATATAGCACAGCAAAGAACTTCAGCCAAAGATACAAACTGAGATTGAGCTATTGGATTCATTTGCACAGGAAAGACATCACCTACATTGGAGATCAAGAAAAGGATGAGTGATAAATCTAATATGGTATAAAATGTTTGTAATTAGTGAGCCAAGAATTGTTATAAAGACAGATTAAGATGAGGTGGAATTGCTATTCTTTCATCAGTTTTTACACAAAATATGTTAATGCAACATGTACAATGGTAGAAAGTACAGAAGAGAAAAAGGTGTACATTATGGTCTCTACTTTTAGGAAGTCTGCAGTGCCTGTTACTATTTTACAATCAAAAGACAGTTTCCATAGGAAAGGCAAAAAGTCCTGTCAGAATTCAGAAAGTGAAATATATATATATATATATATATATATATATATATCTTACATCTTTCAAAGCTTTCATGTTAGCTATTTCAGAAAGAGAGAAATGGGATTATTATCTATTCCCTTACTTGAAATACAGAGTTATAGAAAGCTCAAGTAATCATCAAGCCTAAAAGTGAGTAAAGTGAGAGCTAGGTCTTCTGACTCCTAATCCAGTATTTTCACCATTTCATACCTTCCTGATTGGGATGATCAGGAAGATTTGAAGCTGGAAAGGGAAGAAATGTTTTCCACTAACAAGACATGGAGTAAAACCACAGAACAATGAAAGCACAAGGCACAAGACTGTGGCTACTCTGGTAAAGTTTAAGGGTTATATTGAACCAATGTAGGAAATAAAGCTGGAAATGTAAGCTAGGCCATATGCTCTTTCCTCTTAGTCAACATATTAAATGTTCTTAAACTGCTATTACTTAGGTTGCATTTTAGATTCTGCAGGACACTCATGAGAACCCCTCTATCAATTGGAAAGACTAGGACTTAGGAACGGGATTTGGAAATCAATTAATGGAGATAAGATCTAAAATCTGAGTGGAATTCTTTAGTAAAGAAGAGAGTCTTGGGACACTTCACTAAGAGACTATATTTAAGAGAAAGTAGAACTAGGAACCCACAAGAGTGAAGGCACAGTAATGAGGGTGGGCTGGAGAGCTGAAAATGAGAAAAAATGGCTTTGAAATGAATAATAAAGCCAGATGTGGTAGCTTGGGCTTGCTGTCTGAACTACTGGGGGGGGGGATGGGGACGGTGTGAGGCAGGATGCTTGAGCCCCCAGGTATTCCAGGGCAGCCTGGGCAGTCCAGGAGACAAACAAAACAAAACAAAAAAACTAGGGATTTAGTTCAGTGGTATCCTGGGTTTGATTCCCCAGCACAGAAAAAGAAAAGAAAAGAAAGAAAGGTGTCAACAGTGCCAAATGCTTAGAAGAATTAGAAGGGTTGAAGGAGGACAGAGGCTACTGAATTTCTTGCTTGGAAGATAATCAATGACTTTCAAGAAAACTTTCAGTAGAAAAGATGACAGAAAATTAAAGGTTTCGTGGAAGAGAATGGAGTTGCTGAGAAGTAAGGTTCATGGGTCTTCCTTCTAAAGCAGGGTTTCTTTGTGTTGGGACTTTTGACATTTGGGACCAGATATCTGGAAACCAACGTTTCCAGTGTGCCCAGGACTATGGGTTTCGTGGGACACGGGACTTTCAGGGATCTAACTTGGAAAGTCGCAGGCACCCTGTGATGGATGGTCACCCCAGCCAGATAACTGTTTGTTGGAGCTGTCCTGTGCATCACAGGATGTCTAATTGTGTCCCTGATCTGTTCCTGCTAGATGCCAGTAGCGTTTCCTACCATTGCAGTAACCAAAGCTGTCTCCAGACATTGCCAGATGTCTCTTGGGGGCAAAATCAGCCCAGCTAAAAGTCTGTTCCAGGCCATTTGTATGAGAATGTGAACTGGGCAAAACAGATTGCAAACCAGAAGGGAACGGAGCAAGTAATATGACTTGCTATGTCCTGGGATTTCCTTAAAAGAAGACCTCTGGCACCTCTCTCTTGGTGGCCCACTTTTGATCTTTTCTGAGTGTGAACCTCATTTTGCCTAATAAGCCTGTTCATGCTTCTGACGTGTCCTAAATTCTTTTTTTGTGACAGAAGACAGAGAACCTACTGTCTACTGCATGGGGGCAGCAAGTTGAGGTTTCATCTCCTCTTTGGGGGAGCTCCTTGGACCCTGAATGGTGATAAGGTGACCGAGGCTTCCCTCAAGCGTGGTGACCACACAGATACAGACAGGAAGATGAGGGCCGGGGATTTAGCTCAGTGGTTCCGGCGCCTGCCTCGCAAGCGCAAGGTCCCAAGTTTGATCCCCGGTACCAAAAAAAAAAAAAGACAGGAAGATGAGTGGTTCTGTGGACCACAGCACTGACGCATTTTTATTTGGAATAGCACCAGCCTTCACATTTGATACATTCTTTCTTCCTGTCATGCTTCCAAGTGGTCATCTTGTCCTCAGGTTTTTCTGTGTGGAAGTCTTTTGGACTTGCACATCCATCCTCTTGGATACCTTTTTTTGCAATTGGAACAATGATAGGCTTGATAGGATTTGATCAGAAGCTAGTGGCTGTGTTAAGTCTCTGGATAGTGTCTGTCCCCTTTATCTTGAGCTATTGGATGCTCTCATAAAGGAGCACAAAACACAGTTATGATGGCCAAGTGGAATCAGGCCACTTCTTGTGACCTGTCAGAAAGTTTATCATTGGATAAAACTGGTCCTGTGCTAACAACCACTCTGCAGCTAAGAAGCACAACCTATCATATCTGTTTTAGGACACTTATCCTTTTGCTGATTTGGTTCACAGGGAGTTTGGGGCTCTACTTCATGTTTATTTATTTGTTTAGCAGTTCTTGGGATTGAACCCAGGGCATTCACACTGAGTTATATTCCCAGCCCTTTGTAATTTAAAAAAGTATATATAAGATTCTAGTCACTACATTGCCCAGGCTGGGCTTGAACATGTAATCTTCCTGTCTCAGCCTCTCAAAGAGCTGGGATTACAGGTGTGTGCCATCAGGCCTGGCTCACCTTGGGAATTGTTTATTTATTTATAGCTAGTCTTAATCTAAAAGGCAATGCATACTAACTCTTCCTGCTGGGTCCAGGGGAAATTCCTGAGTACAACTTCGTGTTCACTGGATGGGACAGAGTGGGAAGAAGAAATATTCTGGCCTTCTCTCTTTTCTCTCCTGCACCCACCTGTGGTATGCTTATGCCAATTCCCTGGAATTACCAGGTTTGGACTACAGTGGCACTTATGGCTGTCAAGTTTACCACAGGGCCAGCATTTGGCCACACTGTCTTTATACAGCAGAGAAGCATCCAACCACTGTGATACTCAGAGGCTTGGGGGAGGCAGAGGGCAGCATGGGGTGCTGTGCGCCAGCCTCGGTGGAAGGTTCTCGGTGGAACTCACTGGACTTGGGATCTTCATTCCATAGCTGTTGGAATTACACCCTTTCTGATTGAGACTTCTCATCTTGGCTTTTATTTTTTTACCTAGAAAAAATGCTTATAAATAAGTCATTATAATTTATCATCTTAACCATTCATGTGTTGTATACGAATCAGTGGCATTAAATGCATTCACAATATTGTATGGCCATCACCACTATTTAGATCCCAAACCTTTCCATCATACACAACCGGGATTTTGAAACTTCTGTGCACACTAGGCTCTGTTGGTGGTTGTTGTTCAGCAGCATTCCACGATCCTCATCTTCAGATAGACTCAGTCCTCGGAAGTCTTTGTGGAGACTTTGGACACCATATCCCTCATGTTACCCATTTGGACCTTGGTCTCCCTTTTTCTATGTCTTTTCTCTTCTGTAGTGGGGAATCTGGGGCTTAATGCAAGGGAGTCCTGTGGAAAGTGCTACTCAGTTGCTCAGTGGGGGTTGGGTGACATCTCCTAGAGGGAGAAATGGGACCAAGGCTGACTTGTTCACTCTTAATTTTCTTTATTTTTATGTAACAACTGTTTAAAATGTTGGGTTTTTGTTATTGAAAACTTTCTCATAAAAATTGTAGAAAGATTATATATAAACACCACATAGGATATGAGAATAACGGGGCTGGGGATTTAGCTCAGTGGTTTCACCGCCTGCTGTGCAAGCACAAGGACCTGAGTTCGATCTCTGGTACCAAAAAAAAAAAAGAAAAGAAAAGGGATGGTTCCTTTCCTCTTGTAATAATAAAAAAATCTTCCTAGGATATGAGAATAAGACTTCCTCTACTACAGAGGAACTAATCTAAACATTTCAAGTGCTGGATAGCACAGATGGCACCCTCATTCACCACCCCAGAATCCTCCTGTTTTCTCCAAACCAACATTATTAGTCGTGGAAAGTAATTTGCTTGATCTTTTAATGTTTTCTGATACAGGTTTTGTAGTTCTCCCAAGTATTTCTTGGCAGGTTCCCAAGGGTTTCTGGAAAAAATGTTTTCCCGTTGAAAGACAAGGACTGGAGCATAAGGAAAGGAAGAGGAACCTGAAAAGACTGCAACTGCATACTACCCATGCAAGCCTCACCTCCTGCTTTTCCTGAGCCAGGAACTCTGAATTTTGAGATAGGGGAGGGAGGATGTGAAAGGAGACAGATAACTGGATGGTCAGGCTCCTGACCCCTCATGGCTGTGCTGTGACACAAGCCAGCAGTGCTGTGTGGACCTCCATTTTATTGTTGAGCTACAACTGAAGCAGTTCATTTTCTATTTCAATCCTTGTTTGATTCCTCAGTTCAGAGGAAAACAAAATAGATTTTTTTTGTGGCACTTTGGAGGCTTGGGAGAGGATGCACAAGACATTACTGTACCTTTCTCTGCCACCTCCTGTGAATCTCTATTTCAAAACAGAAGTTTGATTTTTTTCCAGGTTTACTTTTTTTTTTTTTTTTGGTACCAGGGATCAAACTCAGGACCTTGCAGTTGCGAGGCAGGCAGTGGTTTACTTTTTGTTTTGTTTTGTTTTTTGGTACCAGGGATCAAACTCAGGACCTTGCAGTTGCGAGGCAGGCAGTGGTTTACTTTTTGTTTTGTTTTGTTTTTTGGTACCGGGGATCAAACTCGGGACCTTGTGCTTGCAAGACAGGCGGCGTCACCACTGAGCTAAATCCCCGGCCCCGGTTTACTTTTAATTAACAAGTACAAATGATGAGAAACAGAACTTTATTAAAAACTTTAAAAAATTAACCCTGGGCCGGGGATTTAGCTCAGTGGCTCCATATCTGCCTTGCAAGTACAAGGTCCTGAGTTCTATCTCCGGTACAAAAAACACCCCTAACGGTGGTTGCCAAATTGCATTATATCCTTAGAAAATGTATTTATAATTCCTACCATAGTGTGGGGATGTGTATCTTAAGAATAAGAGAATTGGGCTGGGGATTTAGCTCAGTGGTTCTTGACGCCTGCT